TGGAATTTGCCCAAAGGCATCTAATGCCTAGTTCACACTAGAGGATTTTAAGCCTGATTTGAGCCCGATTTGGAAGTTAACGAGCTCGCCGACAGATCGGGCTGTGATCGGGAAGAAATCTGCGGGTGCTCGGCGCTCGCCGCTCTTTATGTGTGAACTACTGAGCAACGCATCAACGAGGCTCGCTGACACCTCGCAGACGGAAATCTAACATTCAGCATGCTAAATATTCCAGAGCAGTCGGCCGATATATGAAACGCCATATTGTCACAACATATTTACATTCAAAGCTATTATTGAGATATTAAAATTAAGCTTTGAATGTCTGGCATCATATTTAATGACACCATTACCCTAAAAATATAATCTTTTTTTGGTAATACAGCCTATAAATATGTAGTTAAGATACTAAAACACTTAAAGGTCTTGGCTTTCATTTTCACTTTCAAACAGGAGCTTTTTAACAGCACAGAATATGCTGTTTTGAAAGATATCTGAAGTAAATTGATGTTGCCATCAGAAAGTTTTGTTTATGTTAGCAGGAAGTTGCCAGGCAAGAAAATGCACACATATTTAAAGTCACAGCGAAAAGTATCAGACATGCATGCAGTCATTTTAACCAATATGGTAATTTAAGGCAGAAATGCTCAGTTCTTTACTGTTTTGTAATAAAAAAAAATAACAATGTCAGAAAGAAATACACTGATAGTTAGAAAACGGCAGGGTGTTATAAATATGTTAGTTTTATTTCAAAGAGTTATAAAATTACAAAAATTAAATACTCTCTGTGTATCTATCCACTCGAAGCTTGCAGATGAGTGATTAATGCGGTGATAAATCAGCTGATTTGACGATGTTTTTAAATGCTTTCTCCAAAGCTTGAAAAGCTGTCAGTGATGTAATCAGCACACAAGCAGCCAATAGTGTTCAGCTTTTTTCTGACGACTCCTCCCTCAAATTTTCATTGGCTGTGGTTTGGTAGCTTGAATGAGCTGATGGGGAATGAGATGTTGTCAGATCATGTAGTGTGTGACCCCCCTCTTGTGGATCGTTCACGGAGTGTTGCGTAGTGTGAACACCACAGAGATCAAAAGACACAAAGTCAAGTCATGTAGTGTGAACAGCACAGCGATCTGCTGATGTTTAAAATCCTGTAGTGTGAACTAGGCTTAAAGGACTCTCAGACAGGGCTCGAAATTGCGACCATTTTGGTCGCATATGCGCCCGAAAATTAATCTATGCGACCTCATAATATATATGGGAGCATTAGTGCGACTGCAGATAATGGTTGTAGTGCGACCTGTTTTGATTTTTTGTAAAAACGTGCTGAATCGCTCTTCCCTGCCGCTATATTGGTTTATATAAGCCATCAATCACGCAAGGTATTCCGCTGTCAGATGACAGGGAAGGAGCTTTTATGACCACAGGAAATGCAAACGGCTGAAGAGTGAAAACTTAAAGCACGCAGGTTTGCAAACCCCACCTAAAGTTGAGGCGCAGATAAGAGCGATCATGACGTGGTAAATATTGATCCGCCAGCTGAGATCAATCGAGTACGTGCTTTTCGGAGAAAGCGCTCGAATATGATGCGTTGCGTTCACTGCATGTTCAGCGCAAATGTCCGCTAAAAGTCAAATCTAATACTGTACATATCATCGCCAAAGAAGCTCGCCTTTACTAAGATTACACTGAAACTGCAGCTCATAACAAACAGTGGTAATCCGCCGGTGGTCACCGCAAGAATCCAGCTCAACCTGCTCATAAATTGGGTCGGCTGACTCGCCTGCTTTTCAACTAACACAGAAAAATGAAAATCAGCTCAGACTGAACATTTAAATTGACACAAACTGAAACTAAAACTTTTAAAGATTGATAGAAGTGAGACTTTACTTACTTTCTTTTGTCTATTCGTTCTTGAGTTGTATATATATATTTTTTATTTAGTTACTGATGACTGCTTTGCAGCTTTCAGCCTTGAATTTAATGATTTATTATAATCTTTTGTTTGTTTTGTAGCAGAAATATTATTTATTAAACTGACATGCATATTTAAACAGCAGTACAAAATAAATATTTCTTACTGCAATGCTTCATTTTTGTTTGATGCAAACTATACATTTGTTTTTCATAAAGTAACAGACTTTTTATAGCAGAAAACTTACATTCAAGCACATTCAAGGCAGCATGATGATGACAAATGTAATTCATTGTTACTATTATTGTCATTTTCATCATCATTAATATTTTATATTTATTCGCCATTCATTTTGGAATTATTACACACAAATATCAATGTCATCTCAGCATTAGTTATAGTTGTTTCTGTTTTTTGTTAGTCCTAATTGATGTTGTTTTAAAATACAATAAATCCCTTAAAATACAATTTGCAGCGGTGCTTAATCATTTTTGGTGGGTGCTCCTAAATTTTTTCTGGTGCTCCTAATTTTTTTCTGGTGCTCCTAAATTTTTGAAGTTGGGAGCACCGGTGCTACCAAGTAAAAAAGTTAATTTCGAGCCCTGCTCAGACCATAAGAAACAAAATTCTCTGTTTTGATGAGACTAAAATTGAACTCATTGGAGTGAAGGCCAGGCGTTACATTTTGAGAAAAGCAGGCCCCACTCATCAACAGGCTAATACCTTCCCTACAATGAAGCATGGTGGTGGCAGCATCATGCTGTGAGAACGTTTTTCATTATCAGGAACTGGAGACTAGTCAGGATAGAGAGATAGATGAATGCAGCAATACAGAGACATCCTGAATGAAAACCTGCTCTTGACCTCAGACTGGGACAACGGTTCAGCAGGTTAATGACCCAAAGCACACTGCCAAAATATCAATGGTGTGGCTTCACAACAACTTGGTGAATGTCCTTGAGTGGCCCAGCCAGAGCCCAGACCTAAATCCTACTGAACATCTCTGGAGAGATCTGAAAATGGCTGTACATCGTCACTTCCCATCCAACCTGATAGAGCTTGAGAGGTACTGCAAGAGGAATGGGCAAACATTCCCAAAGACAGGTGTGCCAAGCTGTAATTGCTGCCTAAGGTGCATCAAAAAAGTATTGAGCAAAGGCTGTGAATACTTATGTACATTTGATTTTTCACATTGTCATCATGGGGTATTGTGTGTAGAACTTTGAAGAGATAAATGAATTTTTTAGAACATGGCTGTAACATTAAAAATGTGTAAAAAGTAAAGCACTATGAAAACTCTCCGGATGCACTGTATATCATAAAAAATATTTAAAATTATGTGTCAGCAATTAATCCACAGGTAAGAAAAGTAGCCATCTGAAAATGCAGGAGTGTGCATTTATTTAGCAAACCCTTTATTTTAACGTGGTTAATTACTAGTTAAGCTTTTTAATCAGTCTGTTTAACAGTTTTAAGCCATTAAATCTTTGAAAGGGCCTAAAATAGTGTAAGTCCACTTTGCAATGTCAGTCTATACCAGGCTTTACTGTTGTAGTTGGTGTTAACATACAGTACATGGTGCTCAGCTATAGCACTGAGTAAAAGTAGTGTAATGACATATGACTGGCAAATGATAATGTGTTATCTTGTAAAATGTGCACTCAGTCCCATGGCTCTGTTAACTCACAAAGAGGAATTGTAAAGCGAAGATATATGTAAAAAAACAAAAATGCGATTCACTTCAAGGCAGTTTCATTATCTTGTATGTTGTATGCGACTCCCTGATAAGCGAAGATAATAACAATACAGTATCATTACATCCTTACAGACATAAGAAATAATCACATCGCTGAATTTGAGTTTTGGTTTTGTGGTAGAGGTACACTGTAAATGGCTGTTGTCATGAAGATCAAGGGAGACGCAGATAGTGTGTGAACCTAGGGCGAGTTAGTGGCTTAGCTAAACTGTAGCCACAGCCCAAAATGAAACACGCGAAGAAACAACTCCTCATGAAAATGAATGCCATGATCTTATGAATTTAAAACTGACCGGTTTAATAACTTTTATTGTACAATCTAACTGAGTAAGTTCTTGGTGTGAATTCTCAGGTGTGAGTACAGCAATTAAAAGCGCACTAAAAGCGAACCAAAAAAGCGTACCGGGACCTGCTTAAAGAGGTGATCTCGATACGATTTCAAACGAACCTTGGAGTGGTTCATTTGTGGTGAGAATATGATCCGTACTTAAACAAACCCAATTGCAAAAAGTACTGCACCTTTTGGACTAATCCAACTGCCGTAGGCCGATACGCTGTGCATTATGGGATATGGAGGAAAAATATTTGTTGACAGCACTTTATCAACTGAGAGAGAGAGGGAAAAACATTACCTGATGGAATGTTGGAAATATTTCCGCAAGTTGACCATGTCGCAGTTTAGCTAAATTAATTTACGCCTCCTCGTGAAGTGACGTGTGATGCATTAAAACACAGTTTTCCAGCCACAGCCACGGTTCATTCTCGAAATGTATAGTTTGACTAAAGCAGGGATACAATCAGTCAGCGCAGTCGTTCCTCCATAGTAAAAAGCAACATTTTGTGCTTGCCGGTTTGTTTACTTGCAGGAGTTCACTGGCATTTTCCTGCACGTGAATTCTGACCAAGCAGTTTAGGCAATATGTTTAACAACATCTGGCCAATGAGAGACGTGGATTTTGTTAGATGACTGTATTTTGGTTCTTTTCAACTGGTTCGGACCAAAGGCAGCAGTGTGGTGTGAAAACGACCCAAAGACAGCAGAAAGTGCAACAATGTATCATTTATTGCCCTTGGTCCAGACCAAATAAAGCGAACTACAGATGTGATAGCACCCTAAAATCAATCACATTTTTATTTGTATAATAATGACATTGACAATAATCTATTATTATTATGATTGTTATTATATTATTGTTGTTGCTGTCTTGCAAGACAACAAGTAGGAATTCGGAAGGTTTAAGGCCTTCTGTGTGTTTAGGGGCATCCATTTGACATTGAAAGACTTTTTATCAAGTGTCCAAACTGTTTTTTTTTTTTTTTTCCATTTAGGAGATTTGGGACATCCAGCTCCAGTCCGCCACGCTTTGTCTTTAATTTGAGAGATTTGGCAAGTTACCACAAACAAGGCTGGTGAAGTTGATGTATTTGATGGCAGACTTGGAGAGCAAAGGAGGACCTCTTTGGACTTAAAAGCCCCCACACGCTTTTAGATTTGACCCCACAATTTTTCTTTCCTTTTGGTCTCATGTCCTCATCTCTCTCTTTTTTTGTGCATCTTAAATATACGAGGCAGCAGACAGCTCTGGACAGAGATATGAGGAGCCTTCAAAGGCGTGTTGTGACTGCTGTTTCATCTCAGTACAAAGGGTTATGCCGAAATGTGTTCCGCCTTTCAGTATATTTTGCATTTATGCTAATGATGCATAAATCGACAGTGCGCTTTTCTCTGCACTACCATATGAATCTGTAAACAAACCGAGGAAGTTAAGCCGTCAAATTTAATTTCACTTTTACCATGAGCTGCGTCCGAGAATCGTCTTGACGTGTTGATCTTAAATTCCAAAAATATTTTTTTATTTTATTTTGTCTGTTAAAATAAATTTTTTCATCAACATTGAGCCATTCAAGTTCATCCTAAACCAATCAAACGAGTCACTAATGAATAATGTTACCATTTGAATAACCTAGACATATACATTCACCTGCCACTTTATTAGGTACACTGTCCAACAAGCAAATTTCTAATCAGCCAATCACATGAGAGCAACTCAATGCATTTAGGCATGTAGACATGGTCAAGATGATCTGCTGCAGTTCAAACCGAGCATCAGAATGGGGAAGAAAGGTGATTTAAGTGGACTTTGAATGTGGCATGGTTGTCGGTGCCAGATGGGCTGGGCTTAGTATTTCACAAACTGCTGACCTACTGGGATTTTCACGCACAACCATCTCTAGGGTTTACAGAGAATGATCCCAAAAAGAGAAAATATCCAGTGAGCGACAGTTCTGTGGGTGCAAATGCCTTGTTGATTCCAGAGGTCAAAGGAAAATGGGCAGGCTGGTTCAACGGTTCAGGCTGGTGGTGGTGGTGTAATGGTGTGGGGGATATTTTCTTGGCCCACTTTGAGCCCATTAGTACCAATTGAGTATCATGTCAACGCCACAGCCTACCTGCTGACCATGTCCATCCCTTTATGACCACAGTGTAGCTATCTTCTACTTCCAGCAGGATAATTCACCCTGTCATAAAGCACGAATCATCTGAGACTGGTTTCTTGAACATGACAATGAGTTCACTGCACTCCAATGGCCTCCACAGTCACCGTATCTCAATCAAATAGAGCCTTTGGGATGTGGTGGAACAGAGATTCGCATCATGGATGTGCAGCTGACAAATCTGCTGCAACTGTGTGATGCTATCATGTCAATATGGACCATAATCCTTGAGGAATATCTCCAGTACCTTGTTAAATCTATACACACAAAGAATTAAGGCAGTTCTAAAAGAAAAAGCAGGTCCAACTCGGTACAAGTAAAGTGTACCTAATAAAGTGGCCGATGAGTGTATGACTTCACTCAAACTAATCCTCATAATGAGTCCTTAATTACCTAAAACAAGCAAATAATTTCACCTAGCAGACCTATATCGACAAACACTAATGAGGCCTGCTAGTGAAGGCTTACTGTGTGTGTTTGTTTACACAGAAGAGAGAGAGAGTCAGGGTAGAGCCATGGCAGAGGGGGGAAAAAGCAGGATTATTTGTAATTACGTGTGCCAAGTGTTTAATGCAACAGATTGGACACAATAGCGGCGGCAGAATCAGCTGCATATGAGTCCTCCATTATCCTGCGCTGGTGAAGTTGGGAGACAGATTGCCGGCGTAAGCAGCACAGACAGGCTTGACACCTGCTCGCGGCGCTCACGCTCATGCCACCACTGGGGAGAGGAAACCTGATTAACCGCGCTGTGCTAATAGAGAGAGGAAATTAACACAGCGGTATCCTGGTGAAGGAGAGCTACACTCAGAGAGGGGTGTTTAACCACTGGCAGCCAGAAAAGCCATGGTGAGAGATTAATGAACTGTGCAGTGATGGAGCTCAGAGTCATGCTGTTGATGGGGCTCAACAAGTCTCTGTTTGGGGCTAATGATTCGCCGAAGACACTGGATAGTGCTTTTCCAGCTCTAAATTTAAGGCCAGTTAGACGAGGATAAAACTAATCACTGCATGTTGCCCTGTAATTACTTTTTATAACACTGTTCATTTGCGTAATGCTATTCCTCATATTTGTTTCATGTTGTTTTGAATATTTGTACAGCGCCCCTGTTGGTGATGCCGGAAAGACTTTCTGACCTCAAGACCTAACTAAATTCTGCAATTGTACAGCAGTGGTTGGAGATTTTTTTGGCCACTCTAACCATTCTCTTAGCATTACATTGGGACAAGACAGACACACGTATTCTCTTAACATTGCAGTGGGACAAGACAGACACATGTCCTCTTCCAGACTGATTCATAACACTTCCAGCGGACTGGATTTCTAAATATTTCCCTGCGGTTTTCTTGAACAGGGTGTCCGCAGGGTTTAAAAAAATATTAAAAGTTGATAAATCAATTATGAGTATTTGAAAACCCTTAAAATGTAATAAAAATTCTTAATCATATTTTAAGAGGTCTTTAATTTTTGTTTAAGCGTTCTCCAAAGTGTTTGACTCCAAAAAGCATAAATGTATTTGTTTTCTTCCTAATAATAGCAACGGCGTTCTCGATCCACGTGATTGGTTCGGGCTGGGGTGTGTCCTGTGAAGCTCCCCTATCCGGGTGATGTCACGTAAATTGCGACAAACATGGGAAGGTGATGTGATGCTCTTCACATGTGGCGAAACCATAGAGCGAAACAGACGACAAAATGGGAAAATGTAAGTTTGCCAACTCGGGGTTGAAGAAAGATGAGTTTAAAAAGTGTCTAAAGCCTGTGCTGGACACAACAGTGTAATTTATTATTTAAAGCTTTGTTTCTTCCAAACTTATCTAAGTTCTGTTGCATGGTTGTGCTCTATTGATTTATTTAACTACAATTGTTTATTAACAACTGTTCATTAAGTTAGAGGTTTGATACCGGTTAGAACTTGAAGTAGCGATGAGGTTTTAAAATATTCTGAGAAGGTCATAAAAAGTCTTAAAAAGGTATTGAAATTACCTTTAGGATTCCTACATATACCCTGTTGAAACCACTTCCCAATTTGTGAAGCTTAACTTTTAGTGCTAATCACATCTGCTTCGTTCTCATCTGTTGTGCTGAATGACTTATTGAGTTTGGCTTGTGTTTTACTTTATATCCATTGACCTTATTCTTCGATGCGAATGTGGGCTCCTTTTTGAGATTGTTTTAGAACTTCCGATTCGTTTGCCTATGGGAGAAATGACTAGGAAAAATAAACAGCAGAAAATGGTCAAACTACCTGCACTACAAACACGTGTATGACTATACAGACAAAGCAGAATCATATAATAAGAAAATATTAGTTTGCAACATCAAGCAAGCTGTTTTTAACATCTAACATTGAACATTAAAATGTTGAGCCAAAAAGATTCAAATGGCTGTGCTCGCTCGTATGCTAAGAATAGCCAACATGGAACTTTTTCTTGTTTAGTTACCCAGGTGTAGGCAAGGGATGATAAGCGATTTCAAGGTATACAGCAGTTTGGGAAAGTCGCCAAAAACTGCCAACATTTTCTGTTACACTGTTCCTACGGTATACTGTATGTAGGACTTTTTTAACATTTTTGTTTTGTTTATTAGGACAACTGTATCTCCAGCAGAAAAGATATTCAAAGATGCCGTTTTAATTTGAAAGAAATCTGTGTTTTTGCAACTGATGAAGACAGCAGAAGTCAGTGATTAATTTAAATTATTTAGTAGTAATAGTAAACTGTATTGTCCTTGACAGGACATTTGTTATGGGCTTCACCATATTGCTGCAGACATTCCATAAAACAAACAATAAAAAACAATCCAAAATACAGTAGTTACAAAATTATAATCCTAATTAAGTTAAACTCTTTTTTAATAAACCCAATGGGTAGGGCCAGATGGAATCTGCAGACGTTTTTGCTATTTCTTTGGAGAATTTTGGTAAAAGTCTGTGGATTTCTGTGGAATTATTTTGAGAGTATCATAACTAAAACCTTAATATATAAAATAAAAAAACATCTTTTTAACTTTTATTTAATGTTTAAAATGCAAATCCAATTAGATTTACTTTATTTGGTAAATTAAGCAAGTTTGTCATAAGATATATCTAGTAAAAGACAGAAAATAATACTGTATAAACTGCATTGTACATAAATCAGATGGACATTTTCATATTAGTCAATACTATTACTGAAATTAATTAAAAAAACTGAATAAATATAGATTTACACACATTTACTCAAGTAAATAAACAGAATTAATGATGGGCTAAAAATCCTGTGGAAATCTGTGGAAAATCTGCAGAATTCTGCGCACGCAGATTCCGGGTGGGCCTACCAATGGGTACAAAGGATTTCTTATATCGTTTCAACCTACACTTAGGGACTCAAGGACACTTAGGGATTTAGCCTGGCATGTTTACTGCTCCAAAATATTTTTAATGTTTCTTAAAATAAAATACACTAGTCGTTTCCGAAATTGCCTACTGCTCTGTAAGTACTGCATTTGAATTTGAATTTACTACTCGACTGATAGAAAAGTATGTTCTATATAGCATGAATGTGAATAGTATAAAGCTCGGATATACCGAATACAGAAATATGATTTAAAAATATTTTGCTCGTATGAGTTTATAGGAGTGCCAAAAGTTGTGACACTTATATATTTAACAAATATCTCTTTCTCTCTCGTATACATTTGATCAGCTCACATGGAATTTTAGTTGAAATTTTATTTAAATGGTGCATGAAAGAAGCCTCATGTAAAGAAGAAATGGTATTATTTAATCTGTGATGTTTGGTGATCAGATAGGGTTTTGCAATATTTTGTATTAGTTAAAGTGCTCAGTGTATATAAGTCCACCCCTCACAAATCTATCTTTTAAATTCATATTTTACTTAGAAAGCTATACAATATTTTGTGCGTATACATTAGATTAGTCAGTACTAAAGCTAATTCTGGAGTTTATCTAGCAAAATAACTCACAATAGCGGTCCAAAAACTAGCACACCCAAATTTATGTTATAGAAAAATATTAAATACAAATCAAGAGAAGCAAAGTAATGAAAATTTGGTTTAAATTTTGTAGATTGTAATTAATTTTTTGCAATATTTTGCTTGAATTTAATTGCATTATCTTTCAATTTCTAAACATGTTTGGTGACTAAATATTATTTTAATAAATTTTTCTGTTTAATAAATCTGTTTTGTTTAAATGCACCAAAATACATTGCCTAAATTCACTGAAAATTAAAAAAAAAAATCATTTTCAAAATGGGGTGTACTCAATTATGCTGGGCACTATATTTTGTGTAATAGTATAGTAAACATAAATGTATGTATAATAGTAGTATTTTGTTCTGTGAGGTTAATTATAGTATTTTAAAGTCATAAAGTTTCCCTCTCTTTATATATTTAACACAATATATATATATATATATATATATATATATTTCTTTTTTTTGTCATATTTTGAGCTAAACATTTAAAAAAAAACTATTTAAAAAAACAATAAAAATTGGCTTACCAATAATAA